AGACAATATCACCAGATAATCATTATCCAGCTATTGTAAAGATTTGTACCGCGGAAGAACAAAAGGATTTGGAAGTTACCAAGCTTGTTCTATCTCAAATTCACAAAGATTTCTCCACTCTCATCAATGATCATTCATACAGCGATTTGATTGTTGTTTTGGATCAAGGTGATGCTGTAGCTCAACATGTCGGAGGACCAACAGAGGAAATTTTCGAAGAGGAACCATTTGAAATTCCAGAAACTAGCTTTGAAACTAATGATGCTACTGCTGAATTAGAACACGAAATCATGTCACCATTGACTAGAAATACTGTTCCAACAGGTGGTATTGCAGTTCACAGATTAATCATGTCAAGATCTCCATTCTTCTCAAGAATGTTTGTTACTTCTGGTATGATGGAATCAAAGGAAAGAGTTGTTCACTTGACCGATTATTCCACTGAAGTTATGCTTGAAGTCTTGAGCTATTTGTACACTGATACTATTAGACTTTCACCAAGAAATTGTCTTGGTATTTTAGTTTATTGTATCATGTTGGATTTGGTTGATATGGCTAGTGTTTGTAGAAGAATGGTCGTTTCACTTTTGGAAGATTCTATTGTTTGGTCTGTTATTGACATTGCCATGCTCTATAATGACAAGACTTTGGAATCTGAATGTGAACATTACATTTTAAATAATTTCGAAAAGCTTCGTGGTGCTGCTGGTTTCTTGAATTTACCAGAACTGACCAGAATTAAGATTAAACAATTATATGAAAAGAAAGCTGAAAAGAAATCTAAGAAATAATCTAAGAAAAATTAAAAAAGTATTTATTTAACAATAGACCGAGGGAGGTGAGCTAAAAAATGTTACATCACGGTAAATTCGCGCCAACCAAAAACCGCTGAAAGTTGTCTGTTCTGACCGTTAAATATTCAACAAAAAAAAACAACAAACAACAATTACTCATCATGAATTCATCATCACCCTGCTAAATAGGTATATTGGTTGGTATTCCCACCTTCAGCATGCTACCTTGAGAAGCCACCATGAGGAGAGTTCTCCCTTTGCTTCCTTCCTCACCAGCCATTACTACATTCACCTCGCCAAAACATCATCTA